TTTTCTTTTTTTTTTTTTTTTTTTACAACATATGCTTGTTTATAAGTGAAAATATGAATAGTGCGCCCAATGGGCAATTTGAGTTTATGTTGGTTTAAAGGAATTATTATTAAGGAATTATTAGTTTTCTGATGATTGCTCATTTTTAACCCTATCAAATTCCTGTTGAAAGCTAATCGGCCAGTGGTGGCAATGTTTTATTAACAGTCCACGGTCCCCCCGGCGGGACCACTTGCAGTTTTTAATGATAACAGCAAAACGAATTTAAAATGCTCCGTGTTTTTTGATCGTACACATAAGAGTAATCACATCATTTGAATCTGTAAAGGGTCTATTTTTATTTGTGTACACTCACAATATGAACAAATCATTGTGCTTTTGTAAAATATAGAAAATATACAGGGTGTGCTTTCAGCCGTCTCAGTCTCTGCGCACATCTGTTTGAAACGCGTCACCAAAATGAAACCAAAACTCAGCGAATACTTGACACACTGAGATGAGAAATATATCTATGGAAAGCTTGAGTTGTCTACTTTTAAATGAATTGAGTCAAATCGAAAACAAATATTCTCAGTTTATGTAATCCATATGAAACCAAGGAGAAATACAGTCTTTCCGTCTCACTTCATTATCTGATAATGGCCTGAGGCGGGACACGTCCACGCGCTATTCACAGGGAAAATAGTTCGGTGATTCCCGTACGAGGCGCACGCTCCCCTGCGCAATGCCATCATTCATCATTCCAAAATAAAGTTTATTTCTTTATTACTTTCCTACGTGTTTGGAAGATGGCACGCTATTCAGGCGAGGAAGCTCTTCAGATGATTTTGGAATTTACCTGTTCCTCAGAAGAAGATCGCGACTCCGACGACGAACAGTTGCATTTTGAAGAGCGAATTGATCCAGCTGAGGATTTTCCTGCAAGTTGTTATGATGAGTAAGTCCTATATAATTCCTATTCTGATAATATAAAGACAATATCTCTAATAATCTTATCCTAAGATAATAATATAAAAGAGAAATCATTTTTCAGACTTTGTTTTGCCTAGTTTTGGCTAGCTTTTGGCAGCCTACGTGAAACATTGTATCTTCTGTACCACTACATGTTTCATGTGTAAATTCAAGTATATGTCTTAAGCTTTATGGAAAGTACATGTATAAGACAACTCTTTCAGTATGTTTGCTATGTGTAGGTTTATAAACACTCCTGTGTTGTTTTTTTTGTTTGTTTCTAAAAAAACAAACAAATAAACTGTTTACATGCACTCACAAGTGAATCTTGAGTTATTTTGCCTGACAGTTAAATATATTCTAAATAAGCTACATTTCTTTTGTCCTCACATTCTTTCTTGTAGCACTTCCCTCTCAGTCACATACCTGACTGAAAGGCTCATTATGCAGCTTAGGCGGGTCTTTGTCTTCTCAGGTGTGAATCACTGCATTATGCGTGATCATTCATGCCTCCTCGCATATGGACTTTCTATACAAAAAGTGTCTTAGAAAATTTAAATCAATATATTGTTTTCTCTGAATGAGTGACCTGGATGATTTTCACGTCATTTTCACGCAAACACTTTAGGCTACAAGATCCAGTTCTCAAAAGTCTTGGGGACAAATGTTTTGAATGAGTTTTATGGCCTTATTTCAGTAACTTTCTTTTGTTGTTTTTTTCAATAACCATGCATAACTGTTATTTTCTCCAAAATACAAACTTGTACATATATACTGCTCACATATTATTGTAGCCCAGTTTGTGCTGATTCAAGTGTAATCAGACTTCTATTTTTATATGCAAATGAAAAATGCACAAATGTCAGGGCATGTCAAAACTTCTCCAAGGCCCTGAAACACCCTCAGACCTCAGAGGGTTAACAACGTTGTTGTTCCTCTTTCGGATGCTCCCGTTATGGGTTGCCGCAGCAGATCATTGGTCCAAATATTTGATTTGGCACAGTCTTTACGCCGGATGCCCTTCCTGACGCAACCCTCCCCGATTTTTATCCAAGCTTGGGACTAGCGCTGAGAGCACACTGTTGCACGCAACCCCAGTGGCTGGCGTTGGTTCCCTGGCTCCCTGGATCGAACCCAGGCTGCAGCATTGAAGGCACTGTGGCCTAACCACTAGTCCTCAGGGACCATTAACAATATACCTAAAAATTAGGGTAAAGGTGCAGAATACCAAGTATCAGCTCAATCTGACTTACGGTTCCTGAGAAACAGTTTTCTGAACTTAGCTCGACCTCCTATTGAAGACCAAAAATTGCAGTTAGGTTCAGTATTAGCCAAGGAAAAAGATGAAATAAATATTTTTTTCTCTAGGCCTCACATTTCTCAAGATTTGACCTACATATAAAATTAGGTCAATTGGGCTCATCTCTCTGCCTGAGTAGAGGGAGGTATTACATGATCACAAGGTTTCATATCTGTAGCATGTATGGTTTGGTCTGCATGATCTTTCCAAAATTCTTTCCATTTATTCCTATACCACTAACACAGGAATTGGATGACATTCAAAAAGCTGTAACAAGTACCAGACATTTTACAGTTGGTTTGATGTCAATATCTCAAAAACTATAGAAGGAGTTACACATAGAAAATCAGGAAAAAATGATAAAATAATAAAAAGACATCAGATAACAGTTAGTATATTTATTCCCAACACACTAAATAAAACATTTAGATAAATCGGAGAACAATTAGCATGTTGCTTTTGGAACACACTGAATAATAATAAGAAAACATACAATCCCAGTAAGGTGCCTATGCACCTTTGGTAGTTGGCCCCTTAATTTGTAGATTTGGTAGCTGACATTGGAATTTATTTTATTTTGTCTTTGACTTCTTCTTTTGTTCCCAATCCAACAACGTATCAGCAACTTCTTCCATACATTCTTTTTCCATCTGCATCAGTGAATGTTTTGCTAAACCTAGGCTATTCTTAGCCTAGCTTTCATTTGTGCACTTTCTGTAAGACAATGTTCTAGCATTCTAGTTCACCTTTCATACTGAACTTTATTTGTCCTCAGAACTGAATTTTATAGGTAGGTTAATCCAAAGTGGCACTTTTTTTTTGATTAATGCCATGGTCTCTAAATACTTTTGAACTCAAAGCAGGGGGAATAAATGCCTAGGCTTCTTCTCTGTTTATTTGTTTTTTAAACATTCTGTTTTATTCTTTTTTAAACAACAACTTTTCCTTTTTTGAACAAACCATGCCATCACTAATGCCTAATCAGTCTTTCTGGGCAAACATCTCTAGTGCTGTAGTCTCTGACCCATTGTAAGTAAAACTTTTATCAGCTCTGCTACAGTACTTTTTCAATTAATCAGTTCAGTCAACTGATGGATCCACATCTAGATCCATCACCAATTGATGTCCCAGTCCTAGTAGAATAAAATATACAAGCTTTTTTTCTAACCTTTCAGATCAGTTATTGTCCACAAGACAAGTTTGATTTAGAGCATTTGGCTTGCCAGATTACATTTATCAGGCCATATGTTTCACACCACTGGTTTAGGGTGCATGTGAATGTTTGCAGTTTGCTATGACCAACTGTGTCTTTATGCCTCAAGGCTTCAGATGACCATACAGAGTCCAACACTGATGAGCACGTGGTTCAGGTGTGTAAGAAGAATGCTGGGCAGGAATGCACTGCTCTCACTGATCAAAGGATTCAAGATGGTGGAGAAATGCAAGCTGTGAAGGAACAAGATGATACTGCAGACTTCACAGTGATGTCAAACACCTCGGTGCCACAGCCAAACAGGACAGACTTGGAAAGCTGCAAGAGCTCTCCTGAGGCTCAAATTTCAATGCCAGTCAGCCCAGCAACTCTCCTGGTGCCCAAAAAGTGTGTGTACAAGGATGGTATTAGGGTGGATGAGAGAATAGCAGAAAGTAACCTTGATAAAGAAAGTAAAGACAAGATGGATGTGGCAATAGCAGAATCAACAGATTTCACAAAGAAGTCTAGGACAGACACTGTTGATATTACAGAAAGATTAACTCTTTCTACATATGAGAAGGGACAACAATGCAATGCCATTTCTCAAGAGAAATCAACTCCAGTACTTGACATGAATCACGAGGAATCTTATATAATGGAGAGTAACATTATACAACATTCTGTTGTGGTTCTTAATAGTTTTATGGAAGATGTGCAAGGGTTTGCAGCAGGCTCTGTTATACATGATACTAGTAAAGTGGAAACTATAAGTAGCACTGGAAATGAGGATAATAACATTGAAACAAAGAAGGTTGACAGGATTGAAGAAAAGATGAAGGAGAAGCAAGATGAAAGTACAGAGAAAAAGATGGGTAATGAAACTGATCAGATAGGTGATAGCAAAGGAGAAAGCACAAATTTTATCTCTGAGCAAGGCACAGGAATTTCTAAATATAAAAAGCAACCAGAACTAGAGGGACTAGACAATCATTTAAGTTTAAAGGTAGTAGAAACAACAAAGATATATACAAAAGTACAACCAGAAAGGCACATGGTTGAGTCTAGGGACCAATCAGTTGTCTCTCCAATCATAATTCTTCCTGACACACGGGAAACAGTTATCAAAAATGTAGCAAAGATGAGAGCTATGCCATTTACCCCAGAAATCAAGGTTACAGTCCCAGAAAAAGTCAAACATGAGGAGCCTTTCATTGTCCCTAGAATAGATGTTCTGTTATCAGAACCTGAGAGAGTTATCAATCCACTGGTTCATGATGTTGCACTTATGCATAGAGATAATGAACCTTCTTCTGAGGAGCCAATGGACATTGCCTCAAGAACTCAAAAGAAAAATACCAGAGATGACAGAGTGGTGATAATTGCAGAGCCTTTAGATGTTACACCTCCTCAGCATGAAAAGAATGTTGAATGGTTTCCATTAGACCAGAGAACCAAAGAAGTTAAAACAGAAAATTTAGAGGTTCAAATGAGTGATAGAGAAGAACCATCCAGAGTCAGTAGTGGTTGGAGTAGAGGAAATGACAGCAATAGTATCCCTATAATCAGCATAGTAGCATGTGCTGATGAGATGACACCCTTCCAAGAACAGGAGAAAGAATATGGAAAACCTGTCTTTCATGATATAGTTCACCTAGACAGTGCAGATCTTAAAATGAAAGACTATTCATCTTCATTTATCACCACAACACATGTAGAAAGCAGTACAGAAAATGGTATAAAAAAGGAAATAGTACCAGAGTCTTTGACTCTCATACTTGGGGAGGTGGTGGGTCATTTTGACAGTGGAGCCAGTCCCACAAATCAAGTAGTTGAGAAGGCTGCATTGCAAAAAGAAGGAACTGAGAGAAGGAACTTAATGGAGACTCAACTGAGCTCTGATGTCTCCTCAGCATTATCACCAAAAGCTCCTCAAAATACCACTGCCTGTGACACTGAGGTCTGTCCAGACAAAGAATCAAAAGTGGAACCTGATGCTGACAGGTTCCAAAGGGAAAAACCTGCTATGGAGAAACTTGGCCTAACAACCCCTGTTGGACCAACACTTCCCCCGCTAAGCCCAGCCAGTTTGCGTAGGCTTATGGCAAAGAATAACCCTAACTTGGAAAGCCAAGGTTCTACTGTCACCATATTAGGGGATGGAAGTGAAAAGAAAGGAGAAGATAGTGGAGGCAGCACACCCACATCCACTCTATCATGTGAGAGCAGCCCCAAGATGAAACGGCGAGACAGCCTGACTCTTATCCCCTCTGCTACCCCAGAGGAGCTGGCATCTGGGGCTCGCAGAAAAATCTACCTTGCCAAAACGAAGTCTGAAGACGAAAGCTCAGACACACAATGCAAGAGAGACAGCCCATACATGTCACCCAGCCATGCACGCAGGGCTGCCTTTTTGCAACTTCAGAGTGGGCAACAAGCACAGCACATGGAAAAACGGTCACCTTTGTTAAGTCGCCGTAAAACCATGGTGGAGGTGCACAAACCTAAGGAGGAGCCTTCAGAGGAGACTAACATGTCAAACATAGAGAGCAAACCAGCAGAAAAAGAGAAGCCAGACCCCTACAAAGGTAACAAATTGTTCAACTTTATAACAGTGCAATTACAGCATCTAAAGATATTATTAAGTCACAGGCTGCAACCTAGAAAAACAATTTCTAACCAGAAATAACTTTGCTGTACAGTTTTAGTTGCTAGCTTGGCCCAGAGTATACATTTGTGTGCTTGATGGAGCATTTGGCATTCTCCCTGGGTCAAAATAACAGTTCAGTATTTTAAAACAAGTTTTACACATATCACTTTTACATTTTCTGTACAGTACTTTCATGCAACAGTTGAATATCTGCTATATAGAGAATGGCCTGTTGTACCAAGGAACAATGAATGCTGGTAAGGAAATTAATATGAATTTACTAAGACAAAGTCTGGGAGTTTATAAAGGTTAAATAATAATATTCAAAATCTTATGTTATGAGGGGGATTGGTGGTTAGCACATTTGCCTTGTACCTCCAGGATTGGGGGCTCAATTCCTGCCTCTGCCATGTTTGCATTTTCTCTTCAGAAAATGGATAGATGGAATTCTTGAATCTGATTGGTCAGAAGGTGTGGATTAATTTTATACAACCACAGGCTCAGACAATAGTTCTGGCTGTAACATAAACAACAGGTTTATGTTAATGCACTTTCTAATACATTATCATTTCTATAGCAACAAGTCTTTTTACAAGTACAACAGGTACTTGTAAGGCAGATGCTCCCCATAATTAATTAACAATAAATTGAATAAAAAAAAACATGGTGCTGTTTAACAAAGAAGAACATATAATCATTAATATGGTAAAGCTTTCTGTCAGTATACATTTATTTAATGTTTTATGAAGGATTCTCGGTTTGTCCATGCATTGTAATTCAGTAAGTTTTTCAACATGTGAGAGTCTTCATGACAGAAGACTTTGCACTTTCTGGTTTCTTAGTGACATGACAAGCTGCCTTTTTTTTTTTTTTTTTTTTTTTTTTTTT